ATTGGAATGAAAATTAGAGCATCCGAGGAGGAAGCGGATTCTTTTACATATTGCATTTACAGCCCCTTAACTTCTGTTTATTTTCAATTTGGACCTTTTATTTTATGAATGTGTCATGGTCAACCAATTATATGGATTTTATTACAGAGATATAACTCATGTTATTGAAAATGTTATTATTTTAAGAAATTAATTTTTATTGTTTTTTCTCTTTCTTCCGTTATGTATTTATATTAATAAATGTATTATTAATTAAATATACATATTTTAATAGCATGTGTCTTTTTGTATTTTGTACCTTTTCTAGTTTAACGTGTTTATTTTCTAGAAATTATACATCTTCTACACACTTGTTAGTATATACACCATTACTTTTTTTATATGTATATTATATATTACAAGAAGTTTCTACAAATATGTTCTCTAACGTGTGTCTATATATATATATATATATATAGATAGACTTAGGATCATGTAAGATCAAGAGTTTTTGTGAGACCTGTAAGATCAATTCTTAACCATTGGATTAGATCTACAATCTCAAAATTCATAATTACAAAATTGCCACGAGACTTCTCAATAATTACAAAATTGTCTACGTACAACTTTAGACCATTAGATCATTAGCTTATAAAGTTGATCAATGAATATAAATTGGTCTCACGGGTCTCACGAAAAACCCTTGGTCTCACGTGAACCCAACCCTATATATATATATAGAATTAATCAAATGAAAATTAGATAATTTGTTGTAATGGTGAGTTCTAATATGAGCCAATCATTTTAGATTATTAATGTTATTTACTAAAATAAAACAAAAGGTAAATTAGTAAATTATGTTGATTATTCAATTTACTTTAATTAGTTTAATATTCTAATTTGCTTTAATTAGTTTAATTATTTTAATATATGTATATACACACATGGACACACAGAGACCAAATCCGGTGGTCTTCTCCGGCACCCACCCCTACTCTGTGACCTTCTCCGGTCATCTTTTTAATAAGATCTACTAAATTATTTCAATCTAATGGTTTGGATGGATTTTTCGATTTTTTCTTTTTCAAGGTTCTTTTCCAATCTCATCCTAGATATTATGACGTGTTTAATTGATCATAAAAAAAAAACCATGACTCTAACCTTTTTGAACAAAAATACTGAGTATTGAAATAAGACATTCTTCTCAGTATATTATGACAAAACAAGCGTAAAAGTGAACAAAAATTTGTAAAACAAAACATTTATAAGTAAAAGATGTACAAAAAGATCAATGTGTGAATTAAGGTGGATGACCATCCGGTCTTTAAGGTGGATAGGTATTCTTTTCAAACAAAACTAGTTTTGTATCCGTGCAATGCGGCGGGAGCCATTAATTTTAACGATTTTGAAATTTTACTGGTTTTATTAGAGAAGATTTAACGATAATATAAATTACATTTGATCTTTACATATTAATACAATTTGAATAAATAAGAGTTATGGTTCCAATTACAGTCTACAGATGAAAAAATTTGTATGGTAGTTTAAAATCTAACATATTTAAACGACTCCATAAATGTGTTCGATTTACACCAAGAGCGAAGAATCAAGAGATCGAGACCGAGAGTTCTAGAGCAATTTAATGAGAGATGAATGAATGACTCATGGTGAATATAATTTTGAATCTCACATTGGGGGATGGGGAGAAGACATAGAGATATAAGAGGGTGAAGACATGAGTGAAAGGTGTTAGAAGTATCTTGAGAACATGAAAAAAAGAAGTAATGATGTGCATTAATAACTTGTATTATATGTTATTTTAATTGTAGATTAAGAAATTTTAAGACTAAACACATAAAGTAGTAGTACTTAATGCATTATGAATTGTTTTTAAGACTTTGTGCAAAATTGTATAGTACCTTGTGCATTAAAAACTATTTTTAGACTTTTGACAAATCTGGTTTATATGGTAGTAAAGATAAATAGCAAGAACTAGTTTTTGAAGGTCTCACAAAAATGGTGGACCATACAAGAAAACAAATTTGGGTATGTTATGACCAACTGTCTTATGTTTTCGAATAGGGGGGGTTATATGAAGGCCTAAGGGGCTATTTGGCAGTTGCTGAATGGTTTTGTGTAGAATGGTTAAGTGGTCAGAATGGTTAAGAGGGTCAGAATGGTTAAGTGCTGAATGAAATATGGTTGTTTGGTAAATGTTCTCTGAATGACAACAAATTACCATTTTAACCCTCTGTATGATTTAGTACTGAATGAAATAGAACTGTTTGACAGATATCTGAATAAAACAATACTCTGAAAACGTAATTACATATTTCATATTAATCCAAACAAACACAACATTACTTGTTCATAACAATATTTCATATTAATTCAAACCAACATAATATTACTTGTTCAAATTATAGAATAAACAAAAACATAACAATCAAATTCCAATATAATGGTTTTTTTCACTAGTCTCATACACGTCCAGGGCTCTGTTAGCATCTGATGCATCTTCAACACTCTCTGCTCTTTCCAAATATCAGGCACAACTCATCATAATAAGGAAATGGCTTATTTCTCAAGCCCTCAACACTCTTCTGTTTGATGTGGTTACCTTCACCCACTCATCCCATACAGCATCATCATAGCATATTAATGTGCACTATGTACCTCTCCACTCTATACCAAATGCATCTTTCATATATGTCATTGCATCACAGTGCTTCTTTAATGTTTTGAGCCTTGATTCAATAAGAGGACTAGCCTTGAGATTACTTGCTTAACATCCTTTAATTTCTGCACCTCTGCAAAGCCCATTTATATCTATGAATCGATTCCATCTTGAACATGAGAATCCGTTTCCAAACAAGTAGAAAGAAGAAAAAAAACACAATAGGTTCAATGTAAATGCAAAAAATGATTTWGCATAAAAGGAAAACACAGTGATCAAGAACATCATGATCCATTGATCCCACATGGTTCTCACCAATTTCTTCCTTGACCTCCCAAGAGTTGTCAGCTGATAAATCTTGTTAAGTATTGCAAATTGCACAAATAACTTGAATCCACCAACGATCAAATCGATTACCTCATCATATCAATTCGGAAAAAAAAAATGATGCACATAAACATGAGATTTCATATAAGAAATTAGGGTTTCACTCACTTTTGGATTTGGGTTGTGCTTTTCCTGGATGAGACGCAGGGGCTTTCGTTGATGGGATCTAAGGAATGTCGGGAAGGAGATGTTATGGTTGATGGGGATTCTACGGAGTGAGAGAAGGAGATGAAGGAGTTTCAGAGTTGAGAGAGAGATAAGGAGATGTTACCGTCGGAGAAGCAGAGGCGGGCCTAGTCGCCGATGCCATTGTTGGAGAAGCAGAGGGAAGGAGGCATGTCTGCGAGATGGAACGATTGGCGAGATCGTTTGGGAGGAGGAATGATGCGTGGGAGGAGGAGGAACGATGATGCTGGAAGGAAATGTAGGGAAGGGTAATGCTGGAAAAATAAGGCTCTGAACCATTAGGCAACCCCTTAGATGCAAAATAGTTAAGAGGTAATTGTCACCATTAAGAGGTTCATTTTTTTTTGCCAAATAACCCCTGTCTCTTACCGATTAAGAGGCTCATTCTTAATGTCACCATTAAGAGGTAAACAAACAACCCCTAAGTGGGTCTTATGGATCCGTTCTACTGATTTTCATAAATAGTCTTTTTTGGGGGTATGAAATTAAGGTGCATCCATCAAACCTTGAGCTGTCTTCTAGGATATTAGAAAATACAAAGAAAATCAACAATAAAACCAAAAAACCCATCAAAATCAATCAAACAAGTTTCTCGAAATCAATAAAAAAACCGAAAAAGTCTATCGAAATCAATCAAAAAATAAATTTCTTTTCTCGAAAATCAACAGAAAACAGAAATAATCCCTCAAAACACCAAAACTCGACCAAAAATACATCATTTACGGATCTTTAATTCACCTTAAAAATGCATCTACTCAACAAAAATCTTGTATTCATGGTTCCGAACCAAAGACTGGTTTTTTTAAAATTCGAATATAATTGTTTTCGGTAATCGATGTCGATGGGCAAAATCGTAATTTTAAAATATATAAAAAAATTGGTATATTTGGCAAATTCGTTTACGAAAATAACCCCATGGCTTGCAAAATCTCGAGATCGGCAAGGTCGTCGGTGCAAGACGCTTCAAACCTTACCTGGACACGTAATCCGCCTCCCTCCGTTTACATTTGGACAAGTCACTATTGTGCGCACATGGTGCACTACTCTCTCTTGGTGGACACAGGTTTCCACTTTTCAACTCTCTCTCCTCTTTACACCTTAAACTACTACCCCTATACTATGCCAATTTCACACTTTTAGTCCCTTTAATAAATGCTTTCTCTAACAACGTTACATAATCTTGCTACAGACTCACTTGCACATTGTTAAAATTAGCTCAATTAAGTTGGGTGTGTATATTAGCTTGGCTGGGTTTTTAAGTTGAAATGAATAATAATACATACATGGTCATTATATTTGTGTTAAGACGTTACGAAACGTAATAGTACTGTATTGTATATAGATACTGAGTGTGTGTTATACTGAATCTTTTCTAATCGTGTATATAGTATGCATAACGATGAACTGCTTAATTGATTGTTGGCTTAACGGTTTTACTATGTAACTTCATATCGCAACAAGTCACGAACATTGGATCCGTTGACTGCTATTAGGTTCTATGTTTGTTGACAAATGTAACGAAATGTTAAGACCGCTTGTAGGGAATGTTGGACTTGATCTTCGTTTATAAGTTCGGTCAAGGATGTATATATACAAAAAGAATAGTCAAATTAAATTAATAAAAAAACCAATGGTAGAATGAATGTCCCATTTTTCTAATATGTAGTGGACTAAAACAACAAATGAATAATAATATAGGGGCCAGTTTTGCCATTTTAGTAAAATGTAGGCCTATAAGAAATAACTTTTCCCTTGTTGAACATTCGCTCTATCACCATCTCCACCGAAAACCCTCGGTCTGAAATCAACTTTCTCATTCATACAGAATCACAGTTTTCGGGCGAAAATGGCAGCCACTACCGCCGTTTTGATTTTATGCATCTCTGCGGTGGTGATGAATGTGTGTTTGGTCGAGTCGGCACACCACACAGGGGCACCGGCGCCAGCGGCGGACTGCTCAACGGTGATACTGAACATGGCAGACTGCCTGTCGTATGTGACCGCCGGGAGCACGGTGAAGAAACCGGAAGGAACATGCTGCTCAGGGCTGAAAACGGTATTGAAAACAGATGCAGAGTGTTTGTGTGAAGCATTCAAGAACAGTGCTCAGTTGGGTATATCATTGAACGTTACAAAAGCCCTAGATTTGCCATCGGCTTGCCATATCAATGCCCCTTCTGCTACTAAGTGTGGAAGTAAGACTGTCTCATTTTTTCTCCTATTTCTCTCCACTATTCAATATTTTATTCTTCTCTACATTTTTGGAACCTTGATTTCTTGCCTAAAATAAACCCTAATTTTTGAATTTCGATTGTCGGTTTTTTCTTTTTTCTTGTGATCACAGTGAGTATTGGAAGTGGAGCTTCTCCTGGTATGTACAGATCTGATCTCTGACTATTCTTCTTTTTACATCTTGACTAATTCGTAGAATTAAAACCACATTTCAGCAAAAATCTCGTTGTTTTTGTTGGGATCCCTTAGATTTCCCCCAAATTTGATGACTCTTTTGGATAATTTCTTTCTACCTTGACTCTAAAAGTAGCTCGATGAGAACTTCCTCAATGCTCGATTAACATTAATCGATGTTCTTGGTTTTTTAGATTTTTTAACGATCTTGATGCATACCAAACGACGATTTCCTTTCCATTATCTTCTTGATATTTTTTTTTTCCCAATTTTCAAAGAATGAAGTGGGTTGTAGTTGTATCCCGACAGTCTCCAGACCCTCTTTCTGGTAATGTCCGTACCGGTTGTAGTCAGGGTACTTATTTTGCTACATTGGGTACAATTTCTGATGCATGAGTTGAGGGGAACTGGATCTGTGTCTTCATTGAGTAATACTATTTATTCCAGAGTTGAAATTCTTGGATACAAATCGATGTTGTTATGATGGCTTGTACGTTTGTTTGAAAGTCTTGTACATTGATCTGGATTTGGGAATGTCAGGTCTGGAAAAAGGGGTTGGTCTCCTTCATTAGTAATGTCAATCACATGAATACCATCTTGTGTCATGTCCTAAAATATAAGTTCATAGTTGCATCATTCTTGTTTTATTGAGAAACAATGCATCAATGAATTGTACGTTGTGCATTAGTAGTTGTACTTCATGTATACCTCACCATTGTAGTGAATTGGGACAGTACCAGATGGGTGAGAGCAAAGTAGAAGATGGGTTAAAGAATTCTAGAAGGTTTTAGGATTTTAATTTGACATGGATAGTTTAGTAATTTACCAATCTTGTCCAATGTTTCTGATTATTGTTCCACCTATTTTGGTGAGACGGAAAAGAAAAATGCATTTTTGTCCCACACAGTTCATGCCCTGTTTCTCTGTCTCATGTTTGAGACGACAAGTTTCTGTTTCTTTCTACTTAAGACGAATAAAAGCCTGATTAAAGAAATGGGTCATATTCTATGGTTATTGATGCAAGTATCGTTTTTGTAAATATGCATTGCAGTTCAATCCCCAATGGCAGTTGGCCAGGCACCCAACATGGCTGCGTCAGGACCATCCATGGCTCTTGCTCCTACACCGACGGCATCCCAAAGCTCGGGTTCATCTGGGCTAGCCGCACTAACCATCTCTGTTTTTGTCGGTATGCTACTATCTGTTTATTTCTATTCATACTGAGCATACCTGTGTGTCAGGCTTCATTACGATCTAGTATCTGGAAGTGATAGTTTTTTGAGAGGTGAGACTATGGGATGATGCTTGTATGTACTTAGATTTCCGTTACTAGATTGTTATCGACTTATTTCTGTTTCTTGATGTACTTCGTAGTATTTTCTACCGATTTCTTGTTATTTTACGAGCTCCATGTGTGATTGTTAGTTTCTGGTGTGTAATTAACACATTCAAGCAAAAGATGAACACCCACTTAACATACCACTCGTCAAGTATTGGTAAGATCCTACAGTAAGAGACTAGAATGGATCTTTCTGGGCTGTTTGTTTTTGGTTGATAAATCGCGCATTTGGAAAGAAGACGTATGGGTAGTTATTACGCGGTCAATTGTCGTATAAACCTTCTTCAATTACATACAAACAAACGATAATCGAACTGTGTAAAACCAAAAAAGACAAATTAAAACCGTGTTTTATGCTTGTTCCATCTTCGGAGCGAATGTTAAAACAGCATCGGCAACGGATAGGAAGATCTTGTCTTCCCCAATCAGCTCTGCACAATGAGATGCATGCAGCTTGTCGAGCACGGTTTGTCCTGGGTTTGTTAAAATAAGCTGTGTTTGCAAATGGAGTCGAGTCAGTTAAGCCTTAATGGGTTCTCGCGTGATCGAGGGTACAACTATGTGTGCAAAAGGTACAACAGGTTTATGCCAGTGAGTTTAGTTACCTGAATCTCTCTCTTTTGAAGGCTACCATGCAGTTCTTCCAAGGCATGAATGCCACTGGTATCAATATCAGTAACAGCTGCATTACGAGAAGAGAATATATATGGTCAACCGATTATACAACAAAAATCATTCGTTTTATATTATGCAATGGTCTTCTTACGTGACATATCGACAATCAAATACTCTACTTTTGGTTGATTTTTAAACTGTTCTTCCTCATCTGCAAGCCACCTCAAAATCCTACATTAAGGAGTGTTAGCAGCCTTACGAGAATCCTGGAAGAAGCCCAAGAAAAAACACGTCATTCATACCTCTCCTTGATGTAATTAGAATTCGAGAAGTAGATGGCTGAATCGACTCTGATGATCAGAACACCAGGGACCCTAGTCGCACCCGGATACTGCTCTACGTTCCTGTAAACGCTTGTCCTTGGGATCTTACCGAGCACGGCAGTCCGAGGTCTCGTTACTTGTAATAGGATTTTGGCGAACGATATCCCGACCTATAGAAATAAGTAAACTTAATTTTACCAGAAACTTTTATGGCTCAAAAGACCTTCAATATGTGATATTATTTATGTTTACCGCGATGAGTAGGCCTATCTCAACGGAATTAAAAACCACACCGAAAAAGGCACCCATACAAGCTAAGAAGTCAAATTTATCAATCTTCCACAGTAGGACAACTGCGTCAAAGTCGATGAGACCTACGACAGCGGATATAATGATGGAGGCTAGGATAGCATTTGGCGTATACTTGAATAACGGAGTGATTAGTAATAGAGTCAGCATCACGATCGTGGACATCACAATGTTGGACACAGCGGTATTACAACCAGCCATGTAATTCACCGCTGATCTAGAAAATGACCCTGCAAAGCAAAATCATACGCTCATCACGGCCATCTGGTAATTGAAAATTTGCAAGTTAATTTACGATACCTGTGGCAACATAACAACTGGTCATCGAACCGATTATGTTCATGGTGCCTAGTGCTACCATTTCTTTGTTTCCATCCAGCTGATAGTCCTTGAGTGAAGCAAATGTTCTTCCAATTGCTACAGCTTCCTGTGATTTACATGAATATAAGCCATGCATGTCTCAAATCTTGAACTTACATGCCCTCGATGACTTATCGGCTGCCTTGCTTGAGGAAGAGTCACTAAAATGGATTCAAGTGGAAGGGGAAGGGGGTATATATTTACCGTGAGCGCGATCAATCCTGCAACAACTCCAATCTTGAAACCCTTGGCAAGGTAGGTTCCGTTGAAGAAAATTCGGTCCACCGATGATGGATTGATTCCTTCGTCGATATGGCGCACCTGGAAATATTCATCTAGGTGTAAATCAAACGGAACGAACCAGGAAATCCCATATAGAGGTAGAGGTAGAGGTAGGGTCTGAGGGAAGATGTGCATGGTCTGTCTCTATCTCAAAGACTCGGACCTTTTTGAAGACCCCAGAAAATATTTATCCAGGCATGTAAGTAACATAACAATGGTACATGTTGTACCAACAAACACATCAAACTTACAATTTGGACACCATTGCGATCTGCACGAGTGATGAAAACGAAGAACGTGGCAACGATGACGGAAATCAATGGAGCTATTGCAGGCAGCCAAAATAACTTCTTGTTCTTCTTACCCTGATTAAATTGAAAACTAAAGGTGAATTTAGCTCCAAAATGTGAATTGCAGAAATCAAGCAAGGACTTACAATGTACTTTGCAACCATAAGGAAAGTCAAGAATGCAACTCCTATTAGTAAGGTTTGCCAATTCCACTGACGTACACAAAGAAAGGAAAAAAGAGTCAAATTAACAAAAATGAACAAAGGTAAGTCAAATGAAAGATGTTAATGTTTGTAAGTATGAAATTGGTTCATTTTGCCTAATCTTTAAATCGACTTACCCCATGATGTGCTGCGGAAATCACAGAACTCATGACGGAAATGATATCAGTCTTTTTGGTGAATTTCTTGATGCCAAACAACCCTTTGAGTTGCTGAAGTGCGATGGTAACAGCAGCTCCCCCCATGAACCCGACAATAGCAGCATGCGACAAAAAGTCGATCAAAAAACCCAATCTGAAAAAAAGAAAGAAACCATATAATCGATGTCTTTTTTGATCATAAACATGAGGCTGGTAATGTGAAAATATACCTAAAAAAGCCGAGTGTGGCTTGAGTAATTCCAGCGAAGAAGGTTGCAGTGAAAGCAAGACGTTCATATTCATTTTTATGTGTTATGGGATCTATCTCATCTTGTAGCATGGATCCAAGCAAGAGAGAGACCACTGCCACGGGTCCAATGGCAATATCTCTTGAGCTACCCATGAAGGCGTAAATTAGAGGTGGAACGAAGCTAGAGTCTGCAGTGAAACAAGACTACTTAGATTCATGCAAGTTTTGATTTGTGAATCAATGGGATTCAGGTATAACTTACACAATCCATATTGAGGGTCCAAGTTGGTTAGTTTCGCGTACCCAATATCCTGAAGAAAAATAGAAGGAATTACTACATACCATATCATGTATAAATAAATATGTATTATGTATAACCAGCTTTTATGCTTACCTGAGGTATACAGAGACTTGCAATGGTACATCCAGCAATGAGATCGCCTTTGAACTTAGCAAGACTATAATCTCTACCCCATTCGAGTATTGGGAAAAGCGTCTGAAAGCCAAGGACAAGCTTTCTCTTCCTCGGCTGGTCCTTGAACGGTTTCAAGGGATCATCCGAAAGAAAAGTTTCTTTGAGGGCGGTTTTGATCTCTTTCAACAAATCTTGCTTCGGAGGCTTCCCAACCTTGTGGACATACGGCAAGTTATCTCCTTGGAAGCGTGAAGACGATGCATTCATGTTACCCGTATCCTTCATCTCGACATCTGCAGCAATCCTCCCACTCATTGTGGTTGGAAGGTTGTTATCACCTTTATAATCAAAGAGCACCACAAACAAAAGGACGAATTATTAGCATATCAACTAATGGAGATGTATTTGAGGCATACAATGTTGCATTTACTCTTACCAAATATTCCAAAGGTATCTAAGAATGCAAGTTCAGATTTAGAAACTGGGGTGGTCTAAGTGGTGAATAAGGTGATTCTACTTATAAGATAGGAAAGTCAACCTAGAACAGTATAAGCAAAGTATAAGAGTTGATACAAAAATGAATCTAGATAACATATGGGCCAAATACGAAATACCACATACAGATAGGCCTATAATACTGTTCCGTCTTGAGAGTGCAACCGGTGAAGTTAAATAAGCAATTATTACAACAAATATATTAATCTAAACCCTTGTTGGACATAAACAATGGCTTTAAGGGGTTGGTTGACTTTTGTGTTTTTATAAACCTCCCTGTAAACAGAAGTTGGACATAGCCATGTTGAGCATATGCATCTTGCTACCATTTTCATCAATTAAAGCAGTCGTTTGATTGTGTAGTTGGTTTGCTTAGTTCCAATTAAATGATCATCATCACATACTGTCTTTCCAGTGACTTTTAACATTTTCATTTTATGTAAGTTCCAGGGTCCACAAGCTTTCTGTATTTGTCTTCACTTTAAATATTTAACAAATAGTTGAACACGTGCCAAGGGAAACGCAAATCAAAATTTGGCAACTCAGATCTGCATGGCTTTTACCAATTCTCTGAGGCAGGGATAAGATCAAACATATATTTCATGGTGAAGATAGACTTGATTGATCAAGAGTGTTACAGGATATGCAACTTTATGAACTATGCATCTCTCTTTATAGAAACCCAATTAACTAGCAAACAAAACATTGCCAGAATAGTTTGTTATTTTGTTATTTTGAGGAGGGGCCATAGCTTACATTCTTTCTGCAGGGTCAGTGTCGAATCTAGATTCTCTTTTATGTGACCCGTTATTTTGATCATAGATGGAAAGGAACCAAATATGTGTGGTACCCTCTCTCCCAAGTTTTATCTGGTAGGTCCTAACTCCTAACAAAGCTTGCTTAGGATGTATGGAGTTTTCTCTAGTAAAGTTAGGCACTTCCAAAGGCAGACTTGTCGTGTGTGCAAAAATGATCCTCAGAAGGTGACCTATCTTTTAATTGGGTTATTTAGCTAAAAACTTGATAACCAATGGACCCTTTTAATTCTTGAATGACCTTAAACTATACGAAAAAGAAACAAAAAACAAAGTGTGATTCAACGGTCCACAACACTCAGAAAAGTTGGGAAACTTGTGAGGTATGATTGCTAAGACGTGGAACCATCTATCAACTTACAACTCCTCTTGTATCAGAGAGCTCCAACTAAAGAACTACTTCCAGAAAAATGCTAGGTTAGTCGAACTTGTAGTTTGAAGTGTGTTTCAAAAGTCCCATGAAAACACCTACAGACTTCTGAATCATGATGGCTAAACAATCTCTCAGTTGGAACCCTGTTTTCCAACTAATTTGGTGATTAGTTGAAACACATATTCAATAATGATTAGATATGAGAATGTTGTAATTTTAGGTTAAAATATTCCAGAAATTTTGTAATGTAGATGAGTTATCCCAGAAAAGGGGATTGGTGTGATGGAAGGAAGATAATGATAATAATAATAAACAAAGGAAATGAAAGGAAAGGAAGAGAAAGTCAGATAGAGGTTTGGGCGGTATCTTTTTCCATGGCTCCACCAGCAACTCAACTTATAGGAACTTTTCCACGGGTCAATGTGAGGATGTGCCTGTGAACTCATCCAACCCTACTTCCATTTCCTTCTTGAGTATGTCATGTGTTAATAGAATCTCACTAAACAAAACCTAAAATTCAATTCAATCACCATCAATCATAGCACATATGCATACACGCAGAGTTCGTGAAGCATTTAAATAATCAGGATTAGGATGAAGATAACATTAAAAAAATCAAAATGGAGATTGAGATTGAGATTGCGATTAAATTAAGATCACCTTTCATAGCTACGGAAGGGCAAAGCGGGGATGCTTGGGTGGCAGAGACGACTCTGTAATTTGTGTTAATATTTGGTGAAACCTGAGACAGAATAAAAATTGGATAGAAAAGCGTCCAGATTCGTTGAACTTTGACTTAGGAGAAACCTCCATCTCTAATGGCGGAAAGGAAGGATGGATCAAGAGAGAGAATAGAATGAAATGGTCTTGTGAAACCCACAATGTCCAAATATAGCCTTTGTTCTTCATCAAGTCTAACACAAGTGTCAAAATGACCACAATCTCTTTTATTATCTTCTAAAACACAATTATTTACGTTAACAAAATCTTAATAAAACACGAATCACCCGACCATCTTAATCCTTCTCCGTGGGAGAAAAAAAAAGACGGTTTGCATTCGATCATAAGCTGAACACTTTTGTAAGAAATGTCTATGAACTGAACGATTAGGTTCAAATTTGTTTGCTATTTAACGTTTTTATGCACCAAATTCGGTTTTATTTGTAATTGTATCTCTTTTAGGTTATGGATTTGATTATGTATGTATATGGTACTAGTAGTAGGCATGACAATGGGGCTGGGGCTGTAATCTCCGGCCCCGGTTTGTAGTAATATCCCCTGGTCCCGGTCTCCGGCGGGTACGGAGATTATCATCCCGTCCTCGGTCAAATCTTTAACAATTCCCGATTAAACCCCATAAATAATATCATTTAGTTTGATTCTACCGGGGATCCCCGACCCCAGGACCTGTTTTAGCGGGGAATCCCCGTTCCCGTTTGGATCGGAGCAAATCACTATCCCTAACTAGTAGGTATGGTTGTTGGTTGTATGTATGGAAATTGTTTTGATAAATTAAATGCAATTGATAATTTTATATATTTTTGATGATCAATAAATACCAAATCATTTGTGTATGAATAGAGTAAGTTGATTCTTATTAAAAGATTATTTTTGATGATCTAATTAAATCAGATGAGCATCTTTTAACACATCACGAATTGATTCGAAAAACATTTCAATCGGAACTTAAATAAATTATTTATCGAAATGCATGCTATAAAGAACAGTAACGAAAAATTAATCTGAGTCAAGAGATTGAAATCGTAATATTATATAAATAATACTTGTGAAAAACTTGATTTTGAATGAATTTGTACAAAAACTCAAATTTTTCCATTCGTCTTTCTAATTCAGATCTAAGGAAGCGTTTGGTTTGATGGAATGATTTGGAGAGATTTGAATTTGGAAGGATTTAGAATATTTGGTGTTTTTGGTTTTCAGGATTTGGAATTGAATTGAATTTCACTCTTTATAAATATTTTATAAAAATAAATTACAAATAATTATAAAAATAACCTTTATGATTATTATTTTATTTAAAAAATATTACTTTTAATTATATTTTTAAGGTTAAAACTAATCGATTGTTATTTTGCTAAAATTGTGTTAAAATATTTACATTTCTTTGGTTAAAACAAGTTAAAAATAAGCTTTATGATTATTATTTTACTAAGACTATTAATTTAATTATAATTTAAAGGTTAAAATAAATAAAAAAATAACCTTTATGTGGAAAGTCCGAAAAATTCAATGGACTTTCATATTTTAAGTGATCAAGTTATTGAAATTTTTTTTTTTTAAAGAAATAAATAATTGGATATTCTGAAACTAACCTAGAATGACGACTAGTACCCTGTATAACAATTAAAAATCAGAATTAAAAAAATAAAATTAAACATATTCTTAATCGTTCTCATCCTGTTCTTGTTTGACTTGCCACCGCCCAAACAAAAAAAATCAGTCCATATCCAACTGTTGTCGTCTTCCCCAATCGCTATTGTCATTGCAACCAATAACATCTCTTGCCAAACCCAGTCGTTGTCGTCGATCATTCTAAGGATATATTTCTTTGAAAATTGTTCAACTGTAAAAAGAAGTCAAAGCTAAATAAGTTAATACTAGGATCGACAATCCACCTATCACTGCTTTGAAATATGATGCGTCGAACCACAGAGCTCGTAGGAGTTGATATCGAATAAGATGAGTTCAGAAAAAAATTAGGATATTATACCGGGTTGGAATCAATTGCATTTCTTAGTTCAATGGTATGAAGACGATGGAATGAATGAAAGTATCAAAACCCATTTGTTTTTATGACACCTATTCAAATAATGTCTTATAAAATAGTTAATACGATACTTTATCTTAGAAGTATTTTAAAAAACTTGTTAAAACGTCTAAAAATATCTTACAAACTTATTGTAACACTTTTAGATAAAACGTTGTACAGTTGGTCCGGTAAACTTGATTTTATAAAGTATTGGGATGCTTTAGCATTTTAAACGTCCTATAAATCCGATTTTGTTATAGTGTTCCATATTGTTGGTTTTGTGTGAAGGGAAGTTGTAAGAATAAGATCAATTGGCAATAAGGGTTGGGTTCACGTGAGACCAAGAATTTTCCGTGAGACCCGTAAGACCAATTTATGTTCATTATTCAATTTTATAAGCTAATGATCTAATGGTTTAAAGTTGTACGGTGACAATTTTGTGATTATTGAGAAGTTTTGTGGCGTTTATAAATGTTTAAATTGTCAAATTGTAGATCTAATCCAAGGGTTGAGAATTGATCTTACGAGTCTCATGAAAAACCATTGGTATCACATGATACCAAGTCTATATATATATATATATAGACTTGGTATCATGTGAGAGAAAATTGGCCAAATTCGTTAATTATATATATATATATATATATATATATATAGAAGGATGTTATTCTACACCCTTTGTCATTCCTACACCCTATACAACCCTCATCTCAACCATTCAATTTTTAATCAATTAATTGTTTCATAATATAAAGTATTAATCATAATTAATAAACTCTATCCATATTCCATAAATATTCAAATCATAATAAATGAACTCCAATCATTTCTATAAATATCTTAATTAATTGGGTTGCAAAGGTTGTACAAATGCACAAGGTTGTAAAAGAAATATACCATATATATATATATATATATATATATATATATATTTGTCAAACATGACTTTACAGTTAAATATCTCTATTTAGCTATAAACATGGTCAACTTCGGCAATAAATTCGAACAAACACAATCTTCAACTTTTCATAAA